ATTTTTTTTTTTAAACTCACTTTAGCTTTGGAAATATAATTCTTCAAATATCAGAAAAAAGGGTTATACCAGAAGGAAATCCCCGATGAAGCAAATACAAGATGATTTTCCGAGACTCAACTTGCTACGTGGACTTACAATTTCCTCCTAATACAAGATTAGCACCCAAAGACACACGAAGCCATACAAAAGCCTCTAAAATCTAAGAAAAGATTATACTAATCTCGCTTAAAGGAGCTCTGGTAGCATAGTGGTTACGAACCGGGCTGCAAACCTCAGAGTCAGCAGTTCGAAACTACCATCTGTTCCGTGGGAGAAAAATGAGGTTTTCTGCCCCTGTAAAGATTTACAGCCTTGGAAACCCTGTGCAGGGTTGCTATGAGTTGGAACCGACTCCACAGGACATAACAACAATCTCGTTTACTCTCAGAAAAAATCTCCATCAAGTCCTATGGTAGTAATTGAAGTCCAAACCCCCTTACCATGGCCCCAGGCCTCACATTCCCTGGCTTCCTCCTGACAACACAAATGTCTAGGTTGTTCAGTCAAACACATATCCCCTTTACATATGAGGGTGCCCTTGCCTCTCCAGGGGCAATATAAACTCTTGTAACCCTAGTGCTTGGAGCAATACTTGTCTTTTTGAATGAATGATTACAGAAGCAAAGCTACCGAATGACTGCCAGGTACAGAGGCCTTCTGTGATGACGGTGAGAACCTAGGCTCTGTGTTCAAAGACTCATGAAACAGTTAGCGAGATATAAGCCTGTACAGAGAGCTGCCCTCAGTCCTCACAGCCCAGTAAGTCAGATACTCAAAATCCGAGGGGGCTTCACAAAGTTCGTGGAGAAATTCCATTATATTTTACTTTGATTTGTCCATGAACTTTTTGAAGCCACGGACTGCATGAGAGGTATTCTGAAGAAAGTGGAAGAAGAAAGAAAGAATGTGAAAGATTCTGGTGTGAAGTTAGTCAGCCTATGTCCTGGGGTGACAATGGAGCGGGACAGACAAGTCTGCCTGGCGATGCGTCTCAGGGTGGGAGTATCCCACCCTGTGGGATCTATTACAGTGTCTACAGATGCATTCTGCCTGATGGCGCCCCTAAATCAACCCCAACGGCTTCATCGGTTCTTCATCCACAGACAGAGTGACGAGGAAATGCTGGCAGAGTAACATGATGTGTCGTGTGTCCTGAGATGAGGGAACTTCTTGTCTGTGGTGCCTTTCTGCAGGTTCTCCAGGGTATGTGGACATGGTCTCACCTCACCTGCTGGCTTTAGCTCCTAATCTCCAAGTAAAACGCAATTCCGGTGAAGCCAGTGGTTAGGGATGGCCAACTCCAGGCTCAGGTTGCACAACCACCAGCTCCTAGTAGCTGTTCTTGAGTGCTTTTGAAACAGTAATGCTATCCCCAGACCTCACGTGCTGTCTGCATTCTCATCTCTGTACCCATTACACACTATCCCCATGCCAGAAATGACATCTGGCACTCCCATAGCTGCTGGCAAAAGACCTTCACCAGACCTCTCATTAGAGACCAGGGTGTCTCACGGACAGTCCAGCATCTCCAGCAACTGTGGGTTTGTTCCGTGTGTGAGATTCTAACCACATCTATGCCGGACAGTGCAGACTGTCCTCTGGACGTTCTGGAGCGCTATACATGCCCAAGAGATCATCTTCGCATTTGTGCAATTCACAGTAAACTCTAAAAAAGTCACAGATCCGAGAGGCCGCACTGACAGAGGTGAAGTGCCTTCATGAATGTGAACTGTGTAAACGCAGTAGGTTAACCACACTGGGCTGGGGTCAGGGTCACTCTAGGTCCTGTGGCCTAGGGTAGTTCCAGATGCCTCCAGCTGTCTCAGCATGAGGATGCTGATTCTCATTCATTCTCAGGGAGGGCCCCATTTGGATGGTCACCTTAGCCAGAGCTACAGTTCTGCCTGAGGGCCCGATGTCATGCTGTAGGATAAGCACAGAACTGCTGACCACAAGATCAGCAGTTCAAACCCACCAGCTGCTCCTCAGAAACCCTATACAGTTTACTATAAGACCGAACTAACTAGATGACACTTATCCACAATGACATTCCTGTCTGTTCAATCCCTCCTTTTGCAGAAAAACAGTTTGAAACTAAACCATAACAAAGGCCAATTCCATTGAACAGAATGTCTGTCTTTTAGGAAGCACAGATTTTGCAGCAATAGCCAGAAACTCTTAGACACGTCTATCCTGAGTATCATTTACTGTGCTCAGGGCCCATACACTTGCTAGATGCAAAACATGATTTCAAAGTCATCCTTCAAACACTCATAATTCTAAGAGCAAAATTTTTATGGAACAGAAAAATGTCGAGACTCCTGAGCAGGTGCATTGTTGTGATAGAAAATGATTCCTCGGCACAACTTTCCTAGGCTTGTTCTCATCAATACAAGTTTTCAGTTTACTTTGTTGTTTGATATCATTAGATAGTATGCTTTTCCCCTGTAACCTCCTGATGTTTGAAAACGCCTACAAGAAAGAAGAAAGAAGTTTGTCTGACGCTTGTACAATTTTTTGGAGAAACCACTTTGACACCTGATAAAAATCCCTTAAGTGCAGAACAGTGATTCCACTGACATTGACTCTCAGCAGTAAGCACATGATGAAGTCGGACACTAGGGTACTTCCTGCAGTCGTTTTAGCCCACACGAGACTTGCTCTGCCTCTGACACACTTCTTGCCACTGGCAGAAGACTTTGGTGAAGATGCCTTTAACATGGTAGCATCTCTGATGTTAACCAAGCAAATGACAAAGGTTAATCTAAAACACATTTCATTATCAGATACTATACCTGTGATATGATAGACAGAATTAAACCCAATCCCAAATCTTCCAACCTTCAAAGGATCATCCTTTTTCCGGCTTCTTGCTATTTCTTGAATGCCATCCCAGTCCTCCAGGGTGAAGACGGCGTTGTTGTATGCATACAGTGCTGAGCCTAGGTATAGAGGATACACAGGCAGGCGCTCAGACACAAGGAAGGTCAACTCTCAAGATTCCTTCTACTCACAATCAATCACTCGGCCCAGGGGAAGATGGACAGAAGTGAATGTATCAAGGTGAGGGAGTATCGACCTAATTGGTATCACACTTAAAATACAAACACAAATTAATGTGAAATGTGAGGTGCAAAAGAAACAGCATTATTGGCCAACGATCCAGAAATTTTAAAAAAGAAGTCTTACGGTACTTAAAAGTCAAAAAACAAGGCAAACAAATGAATCACAATGTGCTAATCTTTATAAAAGCACTCCTTAAATATCATTTTCTTACATAAATAAAATGAACTGCCTTGGTTTGCACATGTCATGACTATCAATTACGAAATCCATTTGCATCATTATCTCTAAGATCCAACAGAAGAACCCCATGTCTCTAGTCCTTCTCCCAATGATTCAATGTTCTCTGATTTACACCACGAAAAAATGGCAGTTTTGACATCCTCAAGGGACTCAAATCATATTCCTTTTCAATGTCCTTTGAGTTTGGGGAACAGAAGGAAGTTTGAAGGGACAAGATCAGGGATGTAGGGTGGATGGGGGTAAGGTTTCCCAACAAACTTCTCCAAGGACAGCCCTAGCTAACCTCAAAAAATTGTTGTGACAGAAAACAATTCCTTGGCACAACTTTCCTAAGCCTTTTTCTCATCAATGTAAGTTTTCAATTTTCTTCAGACTTCTTCCTAATAAGCTCCCATGATTGTCCTATGTCCTTCGAGAAATCTATCAAGAGCACCCCTTTGGCGTTCCCAAAAACAGTCGAGCTGACATCTCTGCCCTGAATAGAACTGGCCCCGATCCTCTCAGAAGCCACTGTTTTGATTGGACCTTTTTTGCTGAAGGCCTCCTAACAGACTTACACAGTGTATTATTGAGAGAAGTTGTCTGTAGCCAGCCACTGAACACAGACACATGGACAAACATGTCTTGTTTGGAATAAACCCGTGCTTGTATGTAGAGCTGGAACTCTATTTGAGCAATACTTGTTGACTTACCCTCGTACAAGAAGTCAACTACAAATGACAGCTGGGTCCTTCATTAGCAGAGTTAATACAGATCAAAGCACTAAAATTTATGTTAGTGTATCAAATTAAACTTGTTCCTAGTTCATTGAGTCTTACCTTGATATTGCACCATATCTTTTGACCAAAGAGTCTCTGTTCCATATTGAGTTTCATCATATAAAAATTTAACTTCTGTGGCCCCAGCATCTTCTGCATTCTGAATCAATTCCTAACCACAAAATACACCCAAAAATTGATATTTAACAATATGATAAATCTACTGCCCATCTTGATAGTTATTTACAATATTGTAAAAGTGGTGGTGGTTACATGCTGTGGAGTCAGTTCCGACTCATAACGACCCTGTACAGGGTTTCCAAGGCTGTAAATCTTGACGGGAGCAGAAAGCCTCATCTTTCTCCCGTGGAACAGCTGGTTGTTTCGAACTGCTGACCTTGCGGTTCACAGCCCGATTCGTAACCACTATGCTTGTTGTTGTTATTGTCAAGTGCCGTTGAGTCGATTCCGACCCATAGCGACCCTGTATAGAATTTCCAAGGAGCAGTTGGTGAGCTTGAACTACCAACCTTGCAGTTCAAACAGCTTTGCGGTCTGGCTCATTAACCCACAGCGCCACCCCAGGACCCCTATGCTACCAGAGCTTAAATCAACGACAACTACCATTTGTATCATTATCTTTAAGAGCTAGTGAATATAACTGTTATATGCGATGAGGCTTCAAAAGGTTCATGGAAAAATTCCATTATCTTTTCATTCCTTTTCCCACCAACATTTAAAGCCCCTTTTATATTAAGAATATGGTTGAAGAGAGAATGAGCTCTCTTCCAATTACACACACTGGAAATTCTCTCAATTTGAAATATTTTCATCTCTGTTGTGAAGGCCTGGTGGTGCTGTGGATTAAGCACTGTACTGGTAGCCACAAGATCAGCTGTTCATATCTACCAGCCACCCCACAAGACAAAGAGATAGCAATGTGCACCCATACAGATGCCAGTCTTTGAAACCCTACCTAGAGTTGCTATGACACGGAATTAGCTCAATGGCAGTGCAATTGTTTTGGGTAGGGCTGTGGGTTCAGCTTTGGGCTGCTAAGCACATGGCTGGCAGTTCAAACTCACCCGTTGCTCCCTGGGAGAAGGATGAGGCAGGTTGCTCCCTTAAAGATTTATAGTCGTGGAAGCCCTGCTCTGTCCTTTATGGTCACTACGACAGACTTGACTCGATGGTGGCGGGTCTGCGTTAGAAGATTTCAGGATCTGTTTACAGCTCTGTGCCTTATTTACAAAGACTGTTCGAGAGAAATCTCTCCAAGAAGACACACATTGTTCTGTCATGGTAATCGTCAATGGGAGACATATGGCAGGTCCCCCCTTCCTGAGCTTGTTGCTGTTGTAAAGTGCTGTTGAGTTGGTTCCGACGCACAGCCGACCCTGCAAAGCAGGAGTGGGGACTGTCTGGCCCACAGGTTGTGGAAGGCCTGTGAAATCTAAAGGCCTGGCCCTGCCAAGGCAACCACCGTTCCAGGCAACTCACTGTTGTTGTGAAGTGCCGTTGAGTCAATTACGACCCATAGCAACCCTGTATAGGGTTTCAAAGGAGTTCAAAGTGATTTTGCAGTCCAGCGTATTAACACACAGCACCACACCAAGACTCCAGTCATCACACTGTTGTTGTTGTTGTTGTTGTTGTTGTTACTTGCCATGGAGTCTGTCCTGACTCAGTGACCCTGCACAGGGTTTCCGAGGCTGTAAACCTTTACAGGAGCAGAAAGCCTCGTCTTTCTCCCATGGAACAGCTAGTAGTTTCGAACTGCTGACCTTGAAGTTCGCAGCCCAATTTGTAACCACTACGCTACCAGAGCTTCTAAGGCATGAGTTAATTAAATGTTTGACCAAATATAGCAGGCTAATGTTTAAGTTGTTAATTTTGTATAGCCCACGATTGATATTATAAATTTTGCCAGAAAAAAGGTTCCCCAGCCCTGCTGTATAGGGTATTCAAGGAGCAGCTGGTGGTGGTTTTGAACTGCCGATCTTGTGATTAGCAGCAGTCCAGTGCTTATCCTACAGCACCACACCAGCCAGGATCAAAAATAGAACTGTATTTATCACCAGCTAAACAAGAAAACCAAACTGCTATCAATCTGCAGGCTCCAACCTGGGATGCCGCATTCTGGAGAACTTGCGTTAAGAACAAGGCCTTTATGCTGCACTAAGTGGAAAGCTTTGTGACAGTCAGCTTTGACTCATCTGTCTTTGTTTCTCTCATCACTGTCACCAGAGTTCCTTTCATACAGGGGGCAGTCAGATGAGTTGTTTGGTAGATGGTGGGTAAATGGATGGGTGGATGAGTGGCCAGGCCCATGTGATTCAGAAGGAAAAGGAAAATGACAAGATTTACACCCTTCAGGAGCTACCAAAAATTAAAATTTTAAAAATCCCAGATCACTTCTGGGCACCTACCAAAAACATTTTGGTCTCTGATACATTTCAAGGTAGCTCCAGACTCTGGAGTTAGATTAAGCGCCTACCGTCAACTCTGTAGTCACCAAAACTTGGGACAAACCCCAAAGATATTATCGAGTGTCTTTGGGTTTTGTCTGAAGTAAGTAAAAGTCAATAGAAAACCGTTTCCTGGGCAAGCTCCAACTCAGATCAAATCAAAGGTACTGTTTTAAATGGACGAATGGACGTGTCATTAGAAGTAGAGTAAGTGATCCTATATTATGAAACTCACAAACCTCTAACCTTGGGAGAGAATGACATTTTCACTTTCTCAAAGCCTTGTTGTTATTGTAATTGTTAAGTGCTGTTGAGTCAGTTTCAACTCATAGCGACCTTGTATAGTGTTTCCAAGGAGTGGCTGGTGAGTTTGAAGCGTCGATCTTGCTGTTCAAACCACATTGCGGTCCAGTGCTTATCCTACAGCACCATACAAACCCTGGGATCACTAGATTGGGGAAAATCCACAGCCACCGAGTCCTTTCTGACTCATAGCAACCACAAATAGGATTTCTGGAACTATGATCTTGACAGCCTCATCTGTCTCCTGCGCAACAGCTGGTGGGTTCAAACTGTCGACCTTGTAATTTGCAGTCCAGGCACTGAGGTGAGCAAAACTTGGAGCGCTTCCATGGGTACTACACAATGACAACAGTACAGCAGCTACCAGGTCACAGAGGTTAACACGACAGCCACGGAAATAAATAAGGACACTGAGGATACACTACAGAACAGACAGCTGGGTGTGAGGTCAAGTGAGGCTTTCAGTTCATGCAGTGTGCTCCCAGGGTGGCCTTCCCGCCCCCCCCACCCCAACTATTCAACCCGAACATAATAAACACCTGAACGTCATCCTTCTCCTACCTTGTTCTCATCATTAAGTGCCATCGAGTAGGTTCCTTCCGACTCATAGCAATCCTGTATAGGGTTTCTGAGGAGTGGCTAGTGACCTTGAACCGCCAACCTTGCAGTTCAAATCAACCTTGCAGTCTAGTGCACTAACCCACAGAGCCACAATACTACCCTATCTACTGCCTATTTCTCGAAGGATTTTGGAGTCCTATAGTACCTATCCAGTCTAACAGAATCCTTAAAAATCAGCAATCTTGTTTGTGCGAGGCTGTTCTAATACAAAGGAATCAGAGACACAGAACATATTAAGCATTGGACAGCTAACCAGGAGATCAGCAGGTAAACTCAGCAGTTGTTCCGTGAGTGAAAGATGAGGCAGTCTGCTCTTGCAAAGACTGACAGTTTCAGAACCCTAAGCGGCAGCTCTACTCTGTCCAACAGGGTCACTGTGAGTCAGAATAGGCTCAGGGACAGTGAGCTTGGTTTGAGGGGGTGACGCTGCAGAATACTGTGCCGGATCACAAGATCGGTGGTTCAAACTCACCAGTCACTCCTCAGAAACCATACACAGGCTCACTATGAGCTAGAATTGACTCCATGGCCCTTACCAACAACAAACAACATAGTTTGAAAGATAAAAATAAGGATTAACAGGTAGCAAAACAAAACACTCATTTACTAAATATTAACAAGTTAAAGGGAGGATCTTGTTTCCATTCAAATTCCTATTTGCAATTACAGTTTCTTTTAGGGAGCAGAGGAGAAAACTGGCCTGCAAATGCCAAATTCAAGACTCCAGTTATCTGTCTCAAATTGAACAACAGTAACAAATCCAGGATGGGATGTTTCTCCTCTACACTGTAATCCTCAGGGGCACTTATACAAAGGGATCCCAGGAAGTAATGGCAAATAATTTGCCAATTTACATGTCATCTTACGTAAGCCACAAAAATACCTCTGGGCCTCAGTTTCAGCAAGCATTCCAAAAGGTGTGACCTCTAAGACCCCTACTGAGCCTCCAGTAGTAGAATTCTACTAGGGTATGTATCCAAGGAACACAGATTGTATCAAGCTGCCTATGAAACAAACATGTATGACAAGCAGAGTGAAAGAAACGAACATCAGTTTGGGGCCAATTTTTAAGAATGTGAGAAGATCTTGCCCACACTGGTACCTTGGTTCTCAGCCAGGCATCCTAGTGGAGCACTTCTGAATCAATTAGCCCCCTACTTCCCCTAGACTACCGGCTCCATCTCCAGTTTCACTGCATCACCACCTAGTATCCTCATCCCTCCCATCTGCACCTTCCTAGTAAGTCAATGCAGAAATCATTTTCCAATTAACCTTCTATGAACCAAGTACTGAAACTACTCCAATCTGTCATCACCATTCCAATCACTAAAGAGGCAACCGCTCCAACTGAGCATAGCTACCTGTGTTAAACAAACCCAAATCCAACCAAACCCACTCATGGCGACACTATAGGACAGGGTGGAACTAACTGCTCCTTAGTGTTTCGAGGCGGTATGTTTTCTGGAGCAGTCTACTCTTTCTCCCTCAGAGCAACTGGCGGGCTTGAACCAACGACCTTGCACTTAGCAGTCCAATGCTTAACTCACGATACCACCAGGCCTCACGCCATAAAAATCTATCATTGAGCCTAGAAAACATAAGCTATAAAGAATCCTGGTGTGGCGCTGTAGGCTAATGCGTCAGACTACAAAATCATTTGAACTGCAAGGTCGGTGGTTCAACCTCACCAGCTGCTCCTTGGAAACCCTATACAGAGTCACTATAGATCGGAATCAACTCAACGGCACTTAACAACAACAACAACAAGATATACAAGCAAACAAACACAATATCAATGAGAAAGATCATGCAGAAGAACGGATCTAATTTCACAATTAATTAAGGAGATTTCTTACTAAGCTAAAACAAAATCAAATCAGCTGCAGTATCTTCCATCAATGCTCTTTCTCTTATGCTGCCCCTGTTTGTCTTCTTTTCACCTGTTTGTTCATGAAAGTATTCAGACTCAGAGAATATACGTTGTTGTTGTTCAGTACTGTCGAGTCTGTTCGGACTCATAGCAACCCTGTATGAGGTGTCCAAGGAGTAGCTGGTGGGTTTGAACTACTGACCTTGTGCTTATCCTATAGCACCATACCAGAAATAAAATAATGAGATCATTATCCTAGTAAATAAACCGTCCCAAAAGAAACAAAGCCCTGAATGTGGGTACGCTCTTAATTGGTTGGTGTGCTTCGCGTTTTTTAAATCCAGTATCTCGGAGCTGATTCCAATTGGACTGAGTCGAGGCAGCACTGCTCCCCAGGGTTTCCAAGGCTGGCAACCTTTACGGAAGCACACGGCCTCATCCTTCTCCCTCATTATGGAAGCAGACGGCCTCATCTTTCTCCCTCAGAGTGGCGAGTGGCTTTCAACCACAGCTCCGTGCTTGCCAAGGTCCCCGACCCAGCACATATGTACAGCCAACATCCCCCGCCCATCCAGCAAAGGCGTGTAAATAAAGGCGGCCGTGCGAAGTGGGCCGGGGTTTTCAAAGCTTAAACACACTCAACAGAACTTCTAAGAGAGAAATCTACAACATCTTGTTTCTATCAAAGTCAGCTCACACATGGACACAGAAGCCCTACCTTCAGAATCTGCCCTCCTTCTGGGTATCTTCTTAAAATGTCCTTGAGAAAATCAACAAGTGGTGGCGTTGTCTGGCCAAACCGACCTAAAATTGAGAACACCTTTAAGACGACTTCAGTACAAACCCCAGGGCCTGGATCCAGGTGTGTTCTGTTCCAAAGAAACCCACTGTCAGCAAGGCCATCCTGACTCAGTGCGGCCCTGCAGAGGCTCTCTCACAGTCTAAGTCTTTACAGGAGCAGAGCAGCTAGCGGGTTTAAACCACGGACCCTGCACCTAACGGTCCAAACCCTAACCTACAGTGGCTGTTGTTGTTGTTAAGTGCCGTGGAGTTAGTTCTGACTCGACTGCACAGGGTTTCCAAGGTAGGCTGGTAGGTTAGGTTTCCAAGGTAGGCTGGTAGGCTGACTTGCGGTTAGCAGTCCTGTGCGTAGCCTACAGCACCACACCAGGACTCCTAACCTATAGTGCCACCAGTATAATTACATAAATGTGGTGCTGTAGGATAAGCACTGGACTGCTAACTTGCTAACCATAAGGTTAGCGGTTCAAGCCCACCCATCACTCCTCTGAAACGCTATACAGGCTCACTGAGTCTAAACCAACTCGCCAGCACTTAGCCAACAACCCACAACAACATCTTACCGCAGAGCTCCTTAGAAAAATTTACCCAGTGAAGCAAATTCCATAGAAAGAAAGGTAGATTCAATTTTACCAAATCCCAAGATTTTTAATGGAAATACAAATTAGGTGGTTTTTTTTCTAAAAAATGCTTTAAAATATACTAAAGGTCATAAAGATTATTAATCCAAAAATCAAGAGCACAGTAGAGGGAGAAGGGAATTACTGCTATTTCCAAAGCAAACACAATAGATGGCATTACTTTGTGGGTGCTCTTGCTGATACATTAAGAGACCTGGTGGTGCTGTGGGATAAACATTGGACTGCTAACCACAGGTCAGCAGTTCAAACCCACGAGCCACTGCTCAGGAGAAAGATGAGGCATCTGCTCCCATAATGATTCACAGCCTCAGAGACCCTCTATAGGGTCGCTATGAGTCAGATGGCCGTGGGTTTGGGGTGGTGTGATGGTTAAGTGCTGGACTGCTAGACAAAAGGTCAGTGATTTGAATCCATACTGGCTCTGCGGTAGAAAAGGGCTGCCCATCTGCTCCTGCAGAGATTCCCGCCTGGAAACCACTAGGGGCAGTTCTACTGTGTCCTAGAGGGTCACTGTGTGGGAATTGACTCAGCACATAACCCACACCACCTTGCTGATCAACAACAATCTAGAAACAGTGATGTTCAATATCATATCTTTACTACAGTGTTCACACGTCTCTGAAAGGTGACAGGCACTCTGGCTAGCCGGTTCCAGGCCCCTCAAGACAGGGGAGGGAAGTAAGTTCTCAAAGATGCACAGACACCACCACCACCACCACCCCAAAAATCCTACACTTAAGTAAACAGTAATCTGTACTGTAAGAAAATAAAATCACCACTATGAATATATTTGCATTATTTTGGAGCAACACTTCACAGGGTCCACACTCCACTCCTCCCTAATGAGATTCTATGTACAGACTATCTATCCAATTCAGTTCTCTAACTTACCTACTCCATTGCCTTCTTTTCTGTCTGCCCTAATATCCCTTCAGTGCACCCCAAAGCTATGTTGTTGTTGTTGTGAAGGGCTGTCGAGTCAGTTCCAACACATAGCGAACCTGTATAGGGTTTCTGAGGAGCGGCTGGGGAGTTTGAACTGCTGACCTTGAGGCTCAAACCAACCTCGAGGGCCAGTGCTTATCCTACAGCGTCACAGCAGGGCTCGGACACTATACAAGGGGGTTTCTGAGAGTTCATGAGACAGTGGAATGAAAAGATGATGGAATTTTCCCACAAACTTTGTGAAGTTTTCATGCATGCTTTCATTTCACTTTTAAAGCATAATCTTTATATAACTGAAAAGGACAATGTTCCTGGCAAAGTAAATATCATACCTCCCCCTGTTAAGCCTTTGGATTGAAGGTTTACAAAAAGATGGCACTTTTGGAAAGTCAGATCGCCAATCTTGGTCCAGTCAGGTAACTGAAAAAAAAAAGAAAAGAAATGTATTAACAGCAATATAGTCCCTATTACTGTAAACTCAAAACTTTAGCTCCATTTTCCTTTTCACATAAGAAATAATGGTTGGTGATTTTTCTTACCAAGGACCTCTGGTAGTATAGTGGTTACGAGTTGGGCTGCTAACCTCAAGGTCAGTGGTTCAAAACTACCAGTTTCTGAATGGGAGAAAGGTGAGGCTTTCTGCTCCTGTAAAGATTTACAGCTTTGGAAACCCCACGCAGGGTCACTAACTATGAGTCGGAACCGACTCCACGGCACAGAACCATCACCAACAACAACAATTTTTCTTACCAGAGAATAAGGTGCTCTAGAGAAAATGAATACTCCAGAGGGCAGAAATGTCATAAAATTTTTTACTTAAAATTTTAGGAGAATTTTCCTTTAAAATGTACAGCTATCTAAAAATATACATACTTGTGTTTGACCATAATTTAAATTTTTGGTGATGAATCAGACATCAACATAAAGTTATCTTTTGGTCAGTATTTCCAATGTAATCTTCAGAATAGAGCTTATAAGATATCAGCAGAAGTTATGAGGTGTCCCCCACCACCCCTTCAAAAAAAAAATGTTTTTAAATCTGTTAGCAAAAATTTACTTTTTAAGACCTTTAGTGGATTATGCAAATTTCTTATATGGGATTATAGCAGTTGCCACTGAACTGACTCATGCCTGGTCAAAAAAAAAAAAAAAAATACTAGATGTTCGGGAGAAAACAGAGAAAGCTGAGCTCTCACACATTGCTGGTGGGATTGTAAATTGGTAGAGCCCGTGGGGGAAACTATGGCCATTCCCCAAAAAGCTGAACCTAGAACTACTATCTATCTATCTATCTATCTATCTATCTATCTATCTATATATATATATATATACGGTCCAGCAAGTACACTCTTAGACATCTGCCCAAAAAACCTGAAAGCTGTGAGCCGAGCAGATGTGTGCTGATGTCCATTCAAGCACTGTTCACAAAGGTGGAAACATCCCCAACGGCCATCCACCGATGACCAGGTAATCAAAACGTGGTCTGTACAAACAACGGACGATCACTCTGCCTTAAACAGACATGAAGTCCTGGTGCAGGCCACAACGCAGGTGAACCTAGAGGACATGCTCAGCAACGTAAGTCAGATGGCAGGGCTTCTACAGCATCACTTATAGGAAGTAAGCAAATATACCAGGGCTTCAAATATCTGCGGAGAAACTCAGTTATATTTTCATTTCATTTTTCCACAAACTTTTGAGCCCCCCCACCCCAGATACAAACCCTAAGTCATTAGTAAGTAGTTGGGGGCGGAAGGAGGAAAGTGTTAACAGTGGTAGACATATTCTGAAATCACAAGAACAGTGGAAGAATGGAAATCAACGTCATGAAGGTGACAAGTAGAAAGCGAGAACACGAGCCGTGTTGTTGCATGTGGACAGCAGGGTGGCGCAGCACAAGGGTGCTCGGCCCATAACCCAGAGGTCGATGGAGCAAAACCCTTCTCTGCTATCCAGGCATCTTTCTGGAGTCCCGGTGTGGCGCCGTAGGATCAGCACTGGACTGCTAACTGCAAGGTCAGCGGTTTGAACCCACCAGCCACTCCTTGGAAACCCTAATCCAGCTCACTATGAGTCAGAACTAACTTGAGGACACTTAACAACCTCATATCTGTATATTTCTATTTAAAAAAAAAACAAACAAACAAACAAGAAAACGCTGTGACTGTTGGGACTAATGAGGATTCTGACCCCTGCAGCCACTGGGGTATAGAACTTCCTTGAAAACAGGCCTTCCTGTAAACCCCTTTATATTAATGTTTGACTGTTTTTGTTTCTCATAATAATCTGCTCCCTTCCAGTCAATTCTAACTCAGCAGCCCTATAGGACATAGCAGAACAGCGGCTTTGGGTTTCTGAGACTGTCAGACTCTACAGAAGCAGACAGACTTTGTCCTGCTGAGTGGCTGGTTGGTGGGTTCGAACTATCGACTTCGCAGTTAGCAGCCCAACACTTAACCCACTGTGCTATCAGGGTCCCCTTTTTTATCATACTGGTAGGGTAAACGGTGAGCATTCATGGTCTCCCCGAATGCCTTTGTCAGAAAAACAAGGTCGATAATGCAAAGCCAGACCAGTCTTCTCCTCACCAGTCATTCCAATGTTAAACCACGGGATGATCGCTTGGAGGTCAACAGTCTTCAAAACGTCACCTGGAAGACCACCTTTCCAACTTACACTTGGGTCAGGTATGAAAGAAGCATTTACTACTTCAAGGAATTCAGGAATAGTCGCCCAGCATCACATCTCCAAGACTCCAGAGCACCCTGCCCAACGCAGAACTCACTTGCTTTCTTCCAGCCCTGACCTCTCCTCTTTGTTTCATTTCTCAGTTGATGCTCTGACATCGACTTAGTCACTTAAGATAGAAAGCTCCCAGAAATCAATCTCTTTCTCCAAACCACACGGCCAGTGACCTAACTGTCCGCATTTCCATCCTCCGGCCTTTCTGGATCAGGCTTACTGAAAAAACAAAAAAAACCCACAATTCTGACTCATGGTGACCCCATGTGTGTCAGCCTAGAACTGTGCTTCATGGGTTTCCAATGCCTGATTTTTTAAAAAAGTAAATCACTAGGCCTTTCACATGAGAAGCCTTTGGGTGGATTCAAACCTCCAACCTTTCTGTTAGCAGTTGAGCACAGTCACCATTTAGAGTACCTAGCAACTTCTGTGGAGTCCTGGTGTGGCACTGTAGGATAAACTAAAGTGGCTGGTGGATTTGAGCTACCGACCTTGTGGTTCGGTTTGAACCACAAGGTCGGTAGCTCAAATCCACCAGCCACTTCTCAGAAATCCTATTTGTTGGTGTTAAGTGCCATTGAGTCGGTTCCAACTCATAAAGACCCTGTATAGGGTTTCCAAGATTTAATTCTTCCCAGGAGCAGAAAGCCTCATCTTTCTCCATTGGAGTGGCGGACGTGTTCACACCACAGAACTTGTGTTCGCAGTCCAGTATTTATTGTATGGAGCCACCAACATTCCCCTCGGAAGCTCTGTGCATGGTCACTATGTATAGGAACTGGCTCAGTAGCACCTAATAACAGTATAGTTTAATGCCTCAATAATAATAGGTTATATACTATGTCCAAAGACCCTTCCAGCCCTACATTTCTGACATTTAGTAAAAAGGAAGCCAAACTCCAAGAAATATCAAAAAAGTTCCTTTGCCCTCCACTTAATTCCAACTACTGTCAACCCTGACAGACAGAAAAGAACTGCCCAGTGGTTTTCCAAGGCCAGAATCTTACAGTAGCCAGCCACAGAGCAGTTGGTGAGTTCAAATCATCATCTTAGCGCTGAGTGCTTAAGCATTGTGCCACCAGGGTTCCTAAAGATCTGCGTTTTCAAAATTCAAACCACATGCCAACAGTCAATTCCGAATCATAGCAACTCTGTGTTGTTGTTGTTAGGGGCCATCGAGTCAGTACCAACCCATAGGGACCTTATGGACAGCGGAACCAATGGGACAGAGCTAAACTGGTTTCTAGGATTCCCAAGCACGGTACTTAACAACAACAATCTTTACAGTGGGTTAGAAGTGCGGATCTTTTGGTGAGCAGATGAGCCTTCAATTAATACATTACCACGGCTTCTATCTGAGACATAAAAGGTGAAGTTATTTACTGGGAATCCCGTTAAGTATAAAAAGCAATTAGAAAAGTACAGGTAATAATAATTAAATCACTGTAATGATGGTATTTCTAAGCAAAAAAAAAAACCCTTCTGGCGATAATACCAATCACAAAATTCCCCTAGTTTCAGGAAATGAACAAGTCAGATAAAATAGTGGTTATTCATTTCAGATGGGGTGGGGTGAAAAATACAAATGTTCAGATGGTAAATGCAAAAAAATGATGATGCAGAAAAATGATAGTAATAGTTGTATCCATTTTTTGCAAGTTTTATCCAAAACATTATTTCCAAAGTAAATCATAAATCTGGGTTTGTCTGCCTTCAGTTGCAGTAAAAACAGGCGAATGCATTCCGTTTCTCTGAATAGTTTATGTGTAATGATTAGCAAGTTTATGCACTAAAATCCTGTTCATCCATGAAAGGACTACATACATCGTGACACTGCCCGGAGGCCCTCGCGTGGTCACTGAGGGTCACAGTTAAGCGACGAAAATGCAAAGCACGTGGGCAGCCCTTACCTCCCTACTGCGGTGCCACAGCCGTTGCTCCGGAACCGGGAAGGCAGTCTCGGCCCAGATGAGCTCCTTGACATCGAGGACGGTCGCGGAGGGCAGGACATGGAACGTCCTGCAGCCCGTGCAGTTCGGGAGGACCGTCACCCGGACCCACCTGTGCAAAACGCAGGGACTCAGTGCAGCTGGACACGTGGAGGCGGGGGCGGCGGCCACCCGGGGCCCAGCGCCCACCCGCCCGCCGGTTACCTGTCCCCCATCGTGGGCGAATTCCGCCGCAGGCCGTGGGGCCGGGCCGGGGACCGCGGGCCGCGCCTGCTCAGCGCCGGTGCGGCCCAGGACACCGCAGCCCGGCAGGTTCCTGGCGCACCGGATCACCCGGCGCGGGCTGGGGCCGAGGGATTCTCATCGTTCTGCCGGCTGGGGCCGCCCCGATCGCAGAGATGCAGGCGGAAGACAGGAAGGCGCCGCGGGCCGCCAGGGCCAAGGAAGGCGGCACCGCGGGCTCGCGCCAGCGGGCAGGCAAACGCGCGCCCGCGTTCCTGAGGCGGCCCACGGCCACGCGCCTATGGAACCGTTAGTTGAGGTCCGCGGGCGCGCGCCGCCCCGCCTTCGTAGGCCCCTCCCAGACCCTGCCTCCGCCCGACCCTCGCCTAGCCCCGCCTCTCATCTAGCCCCGCCCCTCGCCGACTCGGCCCCGCCCCCGCCGGCCCAGTTCCTGCTCCCTCCGGGTCTTCGCCGGGCTTTCGTCTTGCCCCGCCCCTTGCCGACTCGGCCCCGCCCAGACCCTGCCCCTGTCCCCGCCTCCGCTGGTAGGTCCTGGGACTAGAGTAACCAGAGCCGTAGAGCTGGCGGCTCTCAGAACTGTGTAACTTTAAAAAGTAAAGGACATGTGCGCGCAGCATGAGTCTAGGGAGGAGCTATGCACGGTCTCTGAGAGCCCCTTATTCCATGCAAGACTAGGTACATCTTGACAAATTTCTCTAATGACTCTAACCTATGACCGAAATGAACAAAACCCACTATCGTCCTGTAGGACAGAGTAGGAAATCCTGCCCTATAGGATTTCCGAGACTGTCAACTTTTAAGAAAGCAGACAGCCTCATCTTTCTCCCCGTAAGCAGTGGATTTGACAATATGTCCAATAGGATGTATGGTGGCGGTTAGACACAAGAGAACACTTTCAGAACACTGTTTTTTTCCCATAGTTTCATATCGTGTTTGTTTTAGGATCCATGATTCCGTTTACTGGGGGAAGAAGAGTTAGCAGGAAAGTAATATCTGAGAATACACATATATTCTATGGCATGTTAAAAACACACTTCGCTTTTTTGATACTATCATATTGTTTGTAGCTCAGTGTTCTCCTGTAACAACTGCAAGAAACCTTCAAGAACCAGGGTCTGGAGTCGAGGTTCGTTTCCCCACAGTAACTAAAATTGTCTCTTAATTTGAAAGTATGTGAATACTGGTGAGTTTTCAGAAAATGTCAGTTCTTTATCTGATTGCTCATAGGTTGTTGTTGTTGTTGTTGTTGTTGAGTGGTGCCATCGAGTCAGTTCTGACCCATAGTGACCCTGTATAGGGTTTCCAAGAAGCCGCTGGTGAGCTTGAATCGCCAACCTTGCAGTTCATACTGCTTTCTTTGCAGTCTGATAGGTAGATGAACCAAAATTTAAAAAGAGGAAAATCAGGAAGATTTAGTAAACATTAACACAACAGAGATAAAAATAAAAGGCCAACATGTTAGCTCAATTACAGGAGTTTCTGAAAAAAAAAGCCTGGTGTGACAGACACTGTAGGATAAGTACTGGACTGTTAATTGCAAGTTTGCCAGTTCAAGCCCACAAGCTGCTCCTTGGAAACCCACAGGGTCGCTATGGGTCAGACTGACTTAACAGCAGCAGCAGTATGTGTAGGCAATTCAAAGGCTATTTCATCATCATCAAGTAAACTGTGTGCTGCTTACTTACTTGAATCAAAGTTTAGAGTCGACTTTTTAAAAAATGGTATGAATTTTTCTGCTTTTCAAGTAGCCCCTCCCCCTATGAACATAATATTACTCATAACTCATTATCAGTGATAAATACATACAATACTCTTATAAAAGCAGGGCCTTCAAAAGTTCATGAAAATAAACAAAGAGATGATGGAATTTTTCCATGAACTGCTTGAAGTCCCTTCATACATCTGTCCTGTCCCCTCTTTCTGGCCATACTTATTAGAAAGAGTACTATAAATCATGCATGCCTTTCTCCTCTTAGGAGAGGCCAACACATTTGCTCAAATAGAGCAGAATTTGCAACGCAAGATGTAGACCAGGTCCAAAAACTCTAATGGGCAAGACTACCAGCAATGTGTTCCTGTTGCTGTTAAGTGCCATCGAGTCAGTTCCAACTCATAGTGACCCTGAATAGGATTTCTGAAGACTGGCTGGTGAGTTTGAACTGCTTACTCTGAGGTTCAAACCAACCTTGCAGTCCAGTGGTTATCCTATAGCTCCACGCCAGGACTCCAAATGCATTTGGTATCAACAAGTCAAAAGAACGTGAGTTCACACTTCACGTGACCCCTCTCTCTGGACCAAGTACCATGTGCAATCAGTCAGGCTGCAAACCGAGAGCCTGCTACAGTGACATCCTTCACATTAAAACACTTGACCCGACATCAACACTTTCCTTTTAAGTACAGAAAGTTCTTAGGCAAACCTACAGGCAATTGCAAATTAAACTACTTTTCTCTTTTTAGAATTTATGACCCGGGGAGCTAAAGAACAGGCTCTGGTGTAAGCAGGAGTTAAAATCCTCCACTGCTAACCCAAACGTTGGTAGTTCGAACCCACCCTCACCACTCTGGGGATAAAGATCTGGAGACCTGCTTCCTTAACGACCCTGTATAGGGTTTACTGAAACTCCAAACAACTCTTTATATGTTGTTATTAAGTGCTGTCAAGTCATTTCTGATGCATAGCAAGCCTGCATAGGGTTTCCAAGAAGCAGCTTGTGGGTTTGAACTGCCAACCTTGTGGTTCACAGTCCAATGCTGATCCTACAGTGCCACACCAGCATCCTAGAAAATCCTTTGGGGCAGCTCTACTCTGTCACATGGGGACCATACATGAGAACTCAACTACATTTAAAAGCAACAAAAACTAGAGAGTCCCCCACACCAGTTGTGTTTGAGTGGACTCCAACTCAAGGGGACTTCATGTGTGCCAGAGTCAAATTGTGCTCCAGAAGGTTTTCAGTGGCTAATTTTTGTAAGATCACAAAGTCTTTATTCAGAGATGACTCTGAGTGGGCTGGAACCTCCAACCGTTCCATTCGCAGTGACAATGGTGACTGTTTACAGCATCCAGGAATTCCAGGAACCAGCCGAGGCAGGGCATCTCAGGAAAATCATCTTCCAACCTCCCTTCCTCCCTCTCCCTCAGTCCCTATGCAGAGTGCTCCAAAAAAAGAAGCTGGCCACACCATTTTCCCTGACGTAAAGGATAAGAATCCTTGGTATGGTCCGCCATATTCTGTGGGCTAGGTGTTGTTTCAATAACTTTTTTCTGTGTCTCTCTGCTGTCTTCCCTTTGTCTACAATGCCTTTCTTCTTGTGGGTCAGATATTGTGAATGTTCTAAAACTCAACTCAGATGCCACCTTCTCTCTGAGAACCTTCCCCAAGGCGTTGTTGGGGTTGTTAAATGCCGTCAAGCCAATTCCCACTCATAGCAACCCTGTATAGCATTTCTGAAGAGCGGCTGGTGGGTCTGAACTGTTGACCCTGCAGTTTGACCCGACTTTGCGGTCCACTGCTTTATACCACATTGCCACTCCAGGACCAGGTTAATCTTCCTGCCACTTCTTTAAACCTAAACAAGCTCCTTTGTTTTACTGTCTTCATGTCTTCACTGCATTTACTTCGGTCAGCTCCTCAAAGGCAATAGCTGGTGACAAATGGTCACAGGTACCACCACTGCTAAGTCTCAGCATTGAAACCTGGGACCAGGCCTGGACCCTGAGTCATCATATTCATAAAGGAAAAATACAGGGAAATAGGAAAACCTTGAGCAAGGAAACTGGATAGGTTCTGGGAAGTTGGGGAAGGGGCAATGTTGGGAGACTGGAAAAGCCCCCTTGAGTATTGTTCCAGATTGAGTTGTGTTACAATTCCAGTCTTTAGACCCATGAATGTAATCCTGCCTGGGATCGGTAAGAGCACTCCCAAATTGGCTTTGTTGTTGTTGTTGTTGTTGTTGTTGTTGTTGTGACATGCCATCGAGTCGGCTCTGATTTATAGCGAATTTCTATAGGGTTTCCGAGGAGCAGCTGATGGGTTTAAATCACCAACTTGGAAGTTTAAACTGACCTTTGGTCCAGTGAGATGGTGGTTGTTGTTGTTAAGTGCCGTTAAATCGGTACCGACTCATAACGACCCTGTATAGGGTTTCTGAGGAGCGACTAGTGAACTTGAACCACCGACCTTGTAGTTCAAAGTGACCTTGCAGTCTAGCGCATTAACCCACAGTGCCACACCAGGACTCCAAAGTGACGATGAAGTTTTCTATATCATGCTTGGTAAAGTGGAGGGTCAGCGAAAACCAGGAAGACCCTCAACAAGATGGATCGGCACAGTAGCAGCAGCAATGGGCTCAAGTATAACAATGATTATGAGGTTGACAAAGACCGGGCAGTGTTTCATTCTGACACTATGAATCGGTACCGACTCAACTCCAAACAAAACCCGAGAGAGACTCATAACCACTATTACCAGAACTCCTTAATCATTCAAATAGTATTTACTAATGTCTTTGTTGTTATATCCTAGATGGGCATGCCTCCAAACAGCAGGGTTGCAACAATGAGCAAATCAATCCCTCACATCCTCCTTCCATGTGAGCAGAGGAAGCTACACATAACCAATGAACATGTGGTACATAAACCCATCCTATGGCGTCAAGGAAAGATAAAAAGACGGAAACAAAAACACTTTCCATGCAGTCGACCCAGAATCCTGCTACCCCCATGTGTGTCAGACTAGGACTGAGAACCACAGCATTTCCAGTGGTTGATTTTTCAAAAGTAGATCACCGGGGACTTTCCTCTGAGACACCTGTGAGTGGACTTGAACACCCAACCTTTGGTTAGCAGTAGTTAGCAGTTTGGA